AAACGTTACCTTGTGCACTTGCGTTGTTGATCTTTTGGATCGTGACCTAAGAAAGTTCTGTCTTAGAAGAGATAAATTAATGATTGAAACAACGTTTCCATTTGATGACCAGAAGCATCACCGCGATACATTAACCCTTGGGCGAAGATGACTGGGTCGTTTCGATCCGAGTTTTCAAGAACTTTATCTAACTCTACAGCTTTCGATAATTAATTCAAGTTAGTAATTTTTAAACATAACAAAAATTGTTCAAAAATGCATTTTGCAGGAATGATGCACGGGCGTCCAAACGGAACCATAGTATCAAAATCGTCCGCCTACCGAGGGTTAACCGAGCAATAGAAACTGTTTTCGAAAATAAATACCGTAGAAATTTTTTTGTAAATTGACGTATGGAAATTCAGATAAATTCTTTACAGAAACTAAGTCATAAACAGGTGTACTATTTTTCCTTAACGTGTTGACTATGCAACTTTTCGAGCCGCAGCGCTGATCCTATTAGGAAAAATCGAACATGAATAAAAATGATCTGATGCATTTTGCTCTGCAACAAACTTAAATAAGATGTAACTTGTACTAATAGAAGTACATATTTACTTCGACATAATTGAATAATAGATTCTATAGGTAAATGAAAAGAAGAATGAATGTCTATTAGAGGGTGTTGTCAAACACAAATGATGAGTTAACTCGTCTTCCCCGGTTATCAGGTTAATCTTTTCTGGTAAGTGGGAGTGAAGTAGTCAATGAAATAAAATTGTGACTATTTTGTTCGAAGATATTACCACTGTGTATGTATTCCTTCGTAGCGTCAAAGTAACATAACTCAACGAAAAAGTTGTCAGTCTGTCACCGATCTGACTTGCTTGGAACGCGACCATGTACGAAACTTTCCATGTTTGAGAGACACTTTTATTAAATTTGATCAGTTTATTCTTTTAAAAAAGTACATTACTCGTTATTAGATTGCGGATGTTTATGCAAACATGATCGTGAGCTATTTGACAAAAATCAGAATGATACAAAAATTGATTTCTGTAAACAAAGAGTTTAGTAATGTATATAAAAAATATCTTTAGTAATGAAGATTTAGTAAAGGAGATTTTATTTGATTACTCTTTGATATAACATCATATAAATTCATTATACTCGTTATTAGGCTGCAAATTTTACGCATTTATAGCATATCTGATGGTCCAAAATTCCATTCACTTAAAAGCTTCATCGCGTCTAAAGAGATTTTTATTTCATTTGAACCCTTAATGAAAAAAAACAAATTTCTGTCTGATTCCAGTTTCTGCAAATTACTCCATGAATATAAATATTTACATAAACATCCGGGGTCTTCTCATTATATGCCTAATAAATTCAAATTTTATGTATCTTTCTTGTATGTTTTTTTCTCGAGGAATTGATTCGCGAGTATCGTTGGTAGTTTCTTGCTTATCCCCTTTCACTTGCTCACGGTTAAAATTCTCCTGCTCATGTTACGTACGTTGAAGAAGCGTGAACCGGTTGCTCGTCCCTTCGGCAGTCGCCTCAAGATTAATCCATTTCGCGGAAGTGCAAATGGTCACCTCGCACTCCTGTTCCTCAGGTTGTATGGTTATCGTTCACTGGCCGTCGTATTTCATTGTCAACTCGAAACTTTCTTCAAGCAATATTTATTGTCCTTTGCACACTCGTCTATACTTATTGAAAAATCATACATTTTATACTATTTTATATTGAAAATATGTCTGTCAAATCGAAATTAGAAGCAACCTAAGGAAATACTCCGAACACTTCGTTCGAATAACAGATGATAAATAAGTCTACTTCGTATGTAGACTGCGGATGATTATGCAAATTTACATTCTTCTAATTCTAAATTACGGGAGTGGAATCAGACGGAAGCTTTCTTTACTTACTATATAATGTACTTTACTATTTTACTTTATTTAATATTCAACCAGGTTCCATATAAAATAAGAACGTCTTTAAACATTATCGAACTCTTAACTCTTCTGATGTCTAGACAATTGTATATGCTATAAGTACATAAAATTCGCAGTGTATTCATAAACAAAAACGTTCACTTCCACCGTATTGTTTCGAACAGATTCGTCACAGATCACCCTGTAGATCTCAATCATTCTTTTCAGTGGAGTGTTTTACCTTCTTGATTAGATATTGAACATGTATAAAATAGAGATAGTGAATAACAGAGAATATAGGTGAATATTCCCAAACACATTCTGCTTTTATCAAATAAAATATGCTGACTTAAAAATTGGAGTATCACACATATGTGACGCCTGGCAGCGGACGTGTTAATATATTAAAATAAAATAGACTGTCGACGACGGAAGCAATGCTCTTTAAACGTCACTTTTTACGTCTTGATGTCTAATTCTTCAAAAGTATATCTATACACGCAAATATATCTTAAGTAATTATCCGATATGAGTTTTCGATACCCTGTTGACAGAATATGTTTTACGTCGTTTGACTTCCTCTGTCGTCTACCTCAAAAAAACAATCTACTTTTGCGGCTCCTTGTGCATCGTGTGTTGTGAATCATCGACAATCAATATGTAGTAAACTGTCCCAATGAATCAGCAAGGCTTGTTTGAAGACATGAAAATCAACAATCGATGCATTCAGCCGTGCTTTCGCGAAAGCACAAATATACATACGTCCACAGGAAGACACCATGCGTTTGAAGTGCGGTTGAAATCGTGGTATAAGCGAGCAGCAAGTGATTCCGTATGCAAAAACAAATGAAAAGTGCGAAATAGACATTTCTTTCGTTCGGGGCTTACGTTTTCGAAAATCGACTCTGAAAATACATCTGGTACGCATACAGGCGTCTCAGAAGCCAAACAGATTAACTCTACGAAATAAAAAGAGAGAAAATCGCCAATATTATAGACATATCCAATTTGAGGAAGAATCGTCGACGGTCGATGGGTCGTTGACGGTCCATGAGTCGTCGACGGTTGATGGGTCGGCAACGGTCGATGAGTAATCAACGGTCGATGCAACACCGAGGGTCGTTGAAGGGTCGTCGACGGTCGTTTGATCGTCATAGGGTCTATCGATCGTCAACGGTCGATGAGTCCTCAACACTCGATGAGTCGTCAATGGGCCGTCAACAGTTGATGAGTCGTCAACGGTCGATGGGTCACGGAGGGTCGTTGAAGGATCGTCGACGGTCGTTAGATCGTCAGAGGGTCGTCGACGATCGTTTGGTCGTCAAAGGGTCGTCGACGGTCATTTGGTCATCAGAGGGTTAAATGATCGTCGACAGTTATTTGCTCGTCGATGGGTCGTCTGTGTGACTTCAACGTTACATGGTCTTATAGAGGGTTAACAAGTCGAGTGTACACAACAATAAGACACCGTCTGTTACCCGTTTGGGCCGCCATTTTGGTCCGCACCCTACCTAAACATCGGATGTGCCTCTGAAGAAAAAGATGTTTTCCATTCTGGCCGGTGTGTAATCGTGTAACACGTCAGGCAGAACGACTGCCAACTGTTCACGGATTTGTAGCCCGCGTCCGCGCTGAAGTGGCACCCGCGGCCGGGCACAAAAATACGGGAGACGTTTTTTCGCCCGTTGAAATAGCTTAATGCTCGCCGTGGCGCTTAAGTGGAAGTAGACGAGAAAAAGAAGCGGCGGGAAATAGGAGAGTGCAGACGAGCAACGACCGACAGCGCGCGGTTTTCGAGGGCCCCACTCCTAGATTTTCGCGGGGACGACGCGCTCCTCTCGGCTCGAAAGTGCAATCGTAATTAACCGCTTTTCAGTGTCTCTCTCGCATGAAAAATACGAGCTTGCATAAATAAGTGGGCAAAAGGAACGTGTCAAGCTGGCGGCTCAACGGGCGCGCGCGAGGCTTTCTCCCTCGATTTTTTTTTCCTTTTTGGCCTCTTTTTTTCCATCGCGGAGATGCATCCCTTAATCCCCCCCGACACGCTCGCGAAGAAAGGAGGCGGAACAACGCTGATCGGCGAGTAAGACGGCGATAGCAATGATTTTTTCGTAATTGCATCGCCGTCGAACCTTTTTATCGCCTGCATTATAGAGTTTTGAGAAGTATTATTAAACGTGTTTTATTGTTACTTGAGCAGTTCTATGGGTCAACGTGACTAACACTAATTTTTGGAATTTTTTGTTCATATTCTAATGACAAAGTATTTGTTTGGTGCTTAACTTTTTGTACTTAAAATCAATTTTGAATATAAATTTTGAGGAATGAATCACATTCGCAAATGAACGATTTATTTGATGGAATTTGGTAAGCGCGACCACCATTCTAATATACAATAATAGATAGTTCTTTAATTGTGAATAATAGGTGATCTTATAAATGTAATAAGTAATGAGCCAAATAATGCGTATTCAAGTCGATGCGTAAATATTTATATCCTTAGCGGCAAAACATAGACAAATTCATTTCATCACACATATTGTCCTAATGTTTATTTTTATTTTAATGTAAATTTGGGCACTATAGATGTGTCCACTATTTGAGCATTATAGATTGCAATAGATTTTAAAAATCAACATTAGAAACTTAAGTGTGTGTATTCCTCTCAAACTTATCTTTAAGTACACTAAATATAGGTACTTGTACCTATAATACTAATTCATTGATGTTGTAATTCTTTTATAAGAGATCCTTATATCACAGACATTCATTTTATCGTGCAAGATTATCACAGTTTTAACCAATATAGTTTCTTAAAACAGTCTCTGAATTAATACGTTCTCCTGTATACCAGATTAATGTATAAATAATTTGTCAAATTAACTGTGAGTAACAATATGGAAAAGTCCAAAATGTTCATTAGAAAATCATGAAATTACTAAACCAGAAATGCTAAAATTTCCACTGCTTCGTGCAACAGTGTACCTTTAATGAATTATAATACTAAAGCAGATAACAGCTAATAATAACGGTACTGTTCTTTTGACTAACCGCCCCTAATTTTTCGCATGTTGTGTGTTGCAGCGTGTGACTGTCACCCGATTGGAGCCTCCGGAAAAACGTGTAACCAAAGTACAGGCCAGTGCCCGTGTAAAGATGGTGTAACCGGTACCACTTGTAACAGATGTGCCAGAGGTTACCAACAGAGTAGATCGCACATTGCGCCTTGCATCAGTAAGTACGCGAATCCTTCACCTTTCCCATCTAACGTAATATTCAGTGGGTTTCGTAAATCAGTCACGGTAAATGCTTATGTTAATATCAACTTTCATAGTCTTTTTCACTTAAACATAGAGTATTTAACGACAGAAGACATAAGAAAAAAATTTATCTAAACATATGATCTACTTTTTTTCACATTATTCCAGGGTTGTGACCATTTTTTTTAATCCTTAACTGGTGAGGTGGCGTTTGAAGAACCCCATCATTATTTTTGGAATATTTCCTTTTCATTGAATAGTTACTTGAAAAGGTGCTTGCTTATTTCAATGTTTTGTTACATGAGAGTGCAAAAAATCTAGTTGTGTAATAAAGAATAAGATTTTGTGTAATAAATAGACTGCGGATTTTGATGCAAATTCAGAATTATTATAGACTAATTTTTTTCTATGATTTGCTAACTTTTTTCATAGGTTTCGTTAGGTCCAAAGTAAAACAGAATTTATACTCACCTTTTCGACAAATTATATTGTGTTATGTTTTACACATTCAAGTTTACAATGAATGAATAAGATCCGCAATCTAGTAATAAGTATCAAGATTTCCACCTCACTAGTTAAAGTTTAATGCTACTTGTAGCAAAGTTCTAGGCCATTTTGCAACTCAAATTCTAATAATTGTAAATCTACACGATACTCGGTACCTTCTACAAATTCTTTAAGAATTATGTCAGAATATGGATACTTCTAGGTGGCATTAAGCTCTTAGGTGACCATTTAAAAAATATTCTCCGACATTAAGTTGCCGCATAAATTGATTACAAAAATGGCTATAATCTGGAAACAAAGACAAATTGATGTTTACATAAATGATTTTTATTATCTTAGTGTCTCTTACCCATTTTTGAATTGGGCTCCAATTGTTATAAAATACCTTATATACAAAGATTTTCAAAAATTTTACTGAAAAAAAATAAGTAGAACAACAAACGGATACTCGTTTTAGAACCCGAATACTGAACATTATTTAGAAAATTATACGAACTATAATAATTTAACTTATAGTCTAAAAATCAATGTAGTAATTAATACAATAATATAACATATGTTAGATGCATGCAAAAATAATGACCATCGTATTTAAATTGGTATGTACTATGGTACTATTTTATTTTGTCGATAGGGAGTTCGACTTCTGCCAGAAAAAGTGGCAAAAAGTTATAATTCAGAACAGCTTCCCTCTTCTCCTTTATTCTTATACTTTTTACCACACTTTTCAACCATTTTGCAACCTTCTTTTTTTCCGTACAGTTGAACACTAGTTCGAAAGTATACTTTTCCCGTCATTTCTATGCAGAAAGATAAAAGTAATATTATCGTGGTAACAGTTCTTGCATCTCAAGTACACGCTCCCGTAAAGTTTCCAAGTTTATTTGGTCTCTTCTACGCTTTGTCGACCAAACTGAATCGATTATTAACAGACTGTGTAATATTGCGGAGGGATCAAAATTGACTGGTCGCCAATTCCTCACTTCGAATGCACGGAAAAGCACATGGGCTGTCAGTTCGTCGAGCGAAAACACAAGCTGACATGGCGTAAAGTACGAAATTCGCTATTGATAAAGTGGCCTTTGACGGATAATTTAATATCTGCTCCCCCTACACACGAACAGTTTTAGCATCAGTGACTTTTAAAGGGTTTTCATAACATTGATTAATTTTTTTTATAACACCATTAACACAGTGCAGTATTAATCTCAATTCACTATACAGAAAAACTGTCCATTACTATTCCTTGAGTTAAATTAAATCGAAATTGAAATCGCAGAAATAGGATCTTCCATTACTAGATTGTAACACACGTTGACTATTGATGTCCAATAAATTCTGAAATTTCAGTAACAATAAATTGTAATGAAAAATCAAACCTCGATGATTGAAATGCACCAGGGTTAATATAAGACCTCTGTGTTCAACTAGCTGTCGAAGTCCAACTGTTCTCTATATTTTTACAGTCACGATGATTTAGCGCATTCGACAAACGTACGCTTGACTTATACTCAAGAGTTAACGTGTCACGTAATAATCGATTATCAGCTTCCCACGATGTTGACGATCGAAATCGACCGCGCGCATAGCAGACTTAATTATTTCCAGCATATTGCACCGCGCCGTTTCCTGTATATAGTATGTCCTGGTTTATACGCGCGAGGGGATATCAACCCTAAAACTTTCTTCTACACACCGGGCGTTCAAGAAGTATCCATTAATTAGTACAAATTCAGAAAATAATTGCTCTTGATTCGTACTCTTATCTTTATATATTGTTGTAAATTTTTGTACATCTTCTATTCTCTCTTATTTTCTTTTCTTTTTTTTGTCAATTTTGCTAACTTTCTTTGTTCGCTAGACTTCTCTTGTTAATAACTTCTTGCATAAAAGAGTTTATCCCGTATGTATCAAATAAATTAAATTCAAATTATATTAAAATTAAATTAATTACACATTCTAGATGGTGTTTCGAAAAGAAATAATTTCAAACATGTATTTTAAAAAATACCCTTTTCTCATTATTATACTAAAATATTCTTAGAGAATATTTCTCAAAAGGTATTCCATAATTAATACAAATTTAAAAATTAATACACGTTAAAGATCGTGTTTCCAAGGAAAAATGATTTCGAGCTTGAGTTTAAATCAGAGTTTGTCACAATTTTATTCGAATGATACATAGTGAGAAGTTGCAGTATCTAAGGGCATCGCTCTGAGATTGAAACATTTAATGCAATTAAATAATTGTTTGTCATATGTCGACACATTCAAGAAGTACATATTATTTTATTATAAAAACTGAGATTTCCACGTTGAAAGGATTATAAATGACGAAGTATTTTTTTATCTTTTATTCGTTATTCGCAACTCTTTATCCAGATAATGAATTTGCCTATCTCTGGTTTAAACGAATATGTATATACCTTTTTTGTATAATACTGAGATATTTTTACAAAAGTTTCAAAATAAGATCATTCAGATAATTGTTGTAAGTGCTAATGAGTAGTGCATTGCCCTTCGACGCATTCTTTACTTATTTCCAGATAAATTATAACCTATACCATTTCAACGATATTTATTACTATTATCGATCACTATTAGATGACAGATTTATATGTCAAATGACATTTTTAAAAATAATTTATACTCAGGCATCGTAATAAATCATTTTTTCTTCCCTCAAGGATTTTATTAAGGTAAACATAATATATAAAATTTATTATACCTGGTAACGTTTCATATTTTATTACACTTCATGTAGTTCCGTGCGCCATAAATGCATAAAATCCGCGGACCAATCATTAGACAGAATTTTTATTCTATATTATTAATCTCTTCTTTTCTCATTAAAGAAATTATGAATTAAATATTGGTACCTCATACATCTACATAAAATCACAAGAAGAATTTTAAAACCTTAAACAAACCAATTGAATTGTAATACAATTGTAATATCGTTTGAAGAATTGTAATACAATTTGAATGCCTAACATACTTCAACTCTTTGTTTTTTTATAAAAATAATGGAAGATAATCGAGAATAAGGATATATAGCACACCCTTTTGACTGCCTACAAAAAGTGAATATGAAATTACACGAAATATAAGTGAATTATTTATCGGTACACCAAACATTCGATAAGCTTTTCAATTTTAAAACACAAGGTATCTGACAACGGGCGTAACATAATTAAGCGTCTCCTCGCTTAAACAGTTCGGACGGGTAGGGATGGGGGCAGTTAAAAAAAGACAAAAACCAAAAAAAAAAAAGAAAAAAACTGAGAAAACCAGAACGGCACGAGAGTTTTGGCCGTGGCCGTCCTGTTTTTCGAAGTGATCGATCGATCAATCGGGACGGAACACGCGACCTGGTGGGTACGGCGGTCGTCGTTATCGTTCGATCGCGCGTCCAATTAGGCGAAATTTGCAAATACAAGACTGAGGAACCGCGTGTATAAGCCGTTTAGAAGAGATACGAGACGTATTTAGCATGACTTCACTCTTCCAATAGTTTCACGTTTGTTTTCCGTCCCTGCAGAAATACCGAGGGTCGTGCAGACCCAGGGCACGGCCGGCGAGGAGAGTGGCGAGCGCGAGGACGACGACGACGAGCGTGGCTACGACGGACGAGCTGGTGAGTAAATGTCGAATGTACAGAAACGATTGTATCGTTAGTAGGAAACAACTAGACAAATGACGGCTGAACGTAGAAAAGGCTGTAACACAGACTTCTAAATTATACAGGGTGGACCACGAAACATGATCAGCTTAGATTATTCTATTGTTAGCTGTTCCATCGAACATTTTTTTGGGTGTTATAACACGATTCAAGGAAAGTTTCTAAGGTGATTCTAACAGATTTATTGTCGACTATTTTGTTCGAGATTTTTCAAGGTCAGCTTCAATTTTTTTAGAGATGAATCTATAATTGGTAATTGTGCAGTTTCGCGGTTTTTCTCAATTTTTGGTATAAATATCTCGGAAACTAAGCCCTATCGGTGCTAACACGTACAGGAAAAATTGTTCAAAATGCTGAGTTCTATAACATATCCAAAGGTCATTGAAATTGGTGGTGAGTGTATAACTCCTAATAGTATCTCACGCTTTTTTCTTAAATTGAAATAATAAATGTATATTATTTTTTCGATATCTCCCACTTCAGTCTTCGTTTTAGTGATAAGCTGAAACTATTTTTAAAATACCGCAGCGATATAGTTAAAATTGAAAAAAGTTGTTTGACTTCACAATTACCTTATAATTTTTTTACGCCCATCTTCTAGATAATACTGAGACGAATTCGACAAGCATCATAAGAAATCATTTTTTTTCTTCTAAACCAAAGAAACATTAAGAAAATGTCATGTATGTATCTTAATTAAAACGATGTTCAAAATTGTGTCAATCAGCTGCAAGACAATCGCGTAAATGGTTAAGAAATGAATACTTAGTTTTATTTATGACGTC